GAAACAGTAAAACGAATTGTTGTAAGTATTCTTCCATCTGTTTAGTCTTTCTGTGTTAATCATTTTGAGATTATGTTAGTTCTTTGCTTTCTATATTTAGAATTATCTGATGAAAAATTCAACGTTATTGATGGACATGATAATGAATGGCCAGTGAAAACAAATAAAAGAGTCATACTTACTTTATGTCATGCATGATAAAAGCATTATGAATCTTTCAATTTATTCATATATCTGATAATTTTCTTCAGACGCTAGATATAAACCTGTGAACAAAGATCGATTTCCGGGTTTACTAGCTCAATTATTTGAAAAAGGAGCGATTAAAAAATCAAATACTGTGCTAGGTACGTCATGTTTCTTCCACTGTATCATGTTCAATTCATTCTTCTTTCGTAGGCTTTATGAAAACCGGGTTACATCCTCTTGATCGAAGTAATGTGATCAAAGAGAAAATCCTACAAAATGTAGACTCTGATGTTGAATGCGATACTCAATCATTATTAAATCTAACAACCACCAGCACACCTGTATCAAGTCGTCGAGTAACTGTAAAGCGAAAAAAGCGTTTTCTAGAACATGTTTGAGAAAAAACAACCAAAAAAGCCGATATTTTTTGTGTTGGTGATTTCATTCCCGAAACAATTGGTCTTAGAGGTCCTCCTACCTTATGGTCTTTTGGGTTATAATAAAGATGTGGTAGTTCGGCTTCTTCTCTATTCGGTTTTAATTTATCGAAATATTATCCGGGTAATAAATTTCTGTTTATCAAATCTCTTAATAGATTTTCTGTTTTTTCTATCATTTGCCCTAATGGCGATGTTTCGACTTCTATATACGCATCTGTTTTTTCATATATGCAGCTGATTTTGTTATATATGTTTCTGGCCTATTTACATGAAAAACTTTTGACTTATCTGTCTGTCTAAATATTACTCGGCCTTTCTTTTGCTCATTTTGGAAACGTTTTAACGTTTGTTCTAGCACCTTGTCTGACCTATTTTCTTTCCTAATCTCATTCCTTAACTCATTCTCTAATCGATGCGTAAAATTCTCAACTAAAATCGGATTTCTACCTACTGTTCTAGTTTCTCGTCTCCATGCCTCAGCTACCTTATCTTTCACCGCACTAATCTCAGTCCCTAATCTATCTAATGCTTGTTTTGGATTTGATGGTACAAATTTTGGCCCACAATTCAAGACTCTTCTCTCCTCATCGACTAAACTCATTACCTTATTGTTAACTTGCGGTGGATAACCTAATCTCGTATAATGCGAATGTAAATTCCTAACTCGACTATTTCTATCTCGTGCCCTAACTATTTTTCTATTATTCTCTTCTCCTTTCTGTCTAAAAAATTCAATTTCTTCTGAACTACACTCTTTTGCCTAACCTCAGTTGTATGAACTAACTCACTGTATGATTTTCTAATCTCAACTGGTATTTTCTCAACTAACTCACTATGCTCTTTCTCACTCTTATCTATTTCGGCTACCTTAGCTAATCTCATTATAAGTAAGTAATAAGTTAGTAAGTAAGATTAGTATTTGGTAAAGGTATTTACCACAGAAACTAAACGCATGATGCTGAAATATTGTGTCTTAACTCTTGTTTTGCCTCTCCCTCCGTGTTAACATGCGGTATCTGAACAAACCCTACACAGTTTCTAAAACAGACGAAAAATCTTAAACGCCCATTGTTATTAATTAGGGATAATCATTATTCACATTTATCATACAGAACAATGAAATTAACACTGGACGATGAAGTTCATATTCTGAGTCGTCCTCCACACACTACATTTCAATTACAGCCACTTGATATATATACCTTCAAAATAGTGAAAACAGAATGGGGAAAAATTTTACGAGATCATTATCTCACAACTAATGCTATAAATCTGTATTTCCATTATTACTCAAGAAATTATATACAAATGATTTGCATCCAGCTTATTGTTCAGATGGATTTGCTAAAGCCGGAATTTATCCATACGACAAAAAAGCGATACCAAGAGAGAAAATATCGTATTCCGCAACATCATCATCTAATAGTGGTCAACCGTGTTTAACACGGACGTTATCAAATGAATATTTATTGCCTGTTCATGGTCATATGACAAATAATACTGGTATTTTAAATAATAATGAGTCTGGATATTATCGATTGAGAAGATCACCATCAGCGCCACTATTAAGCTGTACACTAAGTAGATGTTGCATTCTCAATTGTCTCTACAGTTTCTTTAGCTTAGACCACGTGATGAGTTTATGCATTGATAATTTGCACTGGAAGGAAGAAGCAAAGTTTGTAAACTGTAGATAGCATTAGATCTATAGTTTGAGAGTTATACCCTTCTAATAGTAATGTGTCATACTTTTGTAATCGTAGATGAAATAGCTGCGTCAACAACCATACGCAACGATACCGTCACAACGCCAATGTCTACTTCGATATCGTCTATCAATGAATAAATTACTTACATTTCAAACTGATAATTTAGTGCCAATTGCTTCTCCAATTACTTCAGTTACAAAACCACCAATATTGAGCAGTTCATCAATAGTTGGCAAGTCATTTTCATTAGTGGATTCTTGACAAGTTCAAAATGGTAAGGAATGTTTAATTATTGATCAATACTCTTAGCTAGGTATCGTTTTTTTGAAGATTCAGTTTCGTTTTTGATTTGAGTACTAAATCAGTTTGAATATACGACTCCAAACAATAGTAAGACATTAATCAGTTTTTATTTTACGATTACATTTTTTTTCTTACTCTTTCAGAAGATTCAGCGTCAGGAGTTCAAAATGCTATAACTACAACACTGCAACGCTATTTAACACCAACTATTGTCCGTAATACTCAACGCAAAACAATGGTCGAAAGGAGTTCCGACAAAAGTCTGACTAGTGTCGAAGTGCTACATCAACTACAAAGATACAAGCCAGCTGTACAATGCTGTAAAGTGCTTGTACAATATAGTACAAGCCAAAGATATAGCGAAAAAGAAGAAAAAAAATAAAAGCCAAAGTCATCGCTAACCTGACGAAAAAACTTCTGTTAGGTTCCCGGGTAAACTAAGATCTTTCTCACCTAACTTTTATTTACAAATAAGAAAAGATATCTCTTAACAATAAACTCGATCTATTTATACTCGCAATGTTGCGCATTCCTTGACTAGACTGTGCGCAATAACCTTGACTATTCTTGTACCATAATCTTCAATATCTTGTTGCACCATAACCTTGAATATATTCTTGCGCAATTACTTAGACTATATGCTTGCGTGATAACCTTAACTATGATCTTCTCCTTTATGGCACGATTGTAGTGTGTCACATAACACCTCCCCCCATAAAACAAGATGAACTTCCACGTTCATGGAAAACTGAATGCTTCTCAAAGTGCCTATTGTTGTTCAATGTTCCAGCACTGCCACTAATTTTATCGTTCAGGAATTTCGATTTGAGCACGTTCATTTCAGCAACTGCAATTTGTAAGTTGCCATGAGAATATAGGCAAATGCAATAGTAGATCAGAAGCTGCCACCATCTTGATACATCTCATTTACTATTTGCCAGGATGGTTTGCCTTGATTGCTAATTTGTAGTTGTTAGTCACTAAGCAGTGTTTGAATTCAGTTGTCAGATATCATGGATTACCACCACCTTAAATTGATCGTTGACTTGTTCCGGTTTTAGCCATTGGGGATTTTGTTCAATAGCACATGGGACATCTATCATCGAAATTTCTTACCGCTTTACCATCGAAGTGAAAGGAACCTGCCTACTTTTAAATTTTCATTTCAGGTGTCCAGATGTTGCTGCTCTGCTTTTTTGTTCTTACCTGATAATCACTGTTTATTTCTCGTTCAAAATGAAGATATAGAACTTTTCTAGAACTAAACATGTTTTTTTCTTTGAATTTTTCTTATATTGTTTGTATTATGAAATATAGAACAAACAGTTTCGTCAATGAAATGATGCAGCAGAATTAGGGAGGAATTGCTACTCTGATAGACTTTTAATTCGAGAAGTTAGAAGTCTTTTTCGTCAATTGAACTCCCTCAAATAGCGCAGCGTCCTTAATGAATCGCTGCTGATAAACATCCTAATCCTTGTAGTCAAACGATGTGAACTGAACACAGCGAGAAAGAAAAGAAACACTTGTTTATCAGCATGAATAGGAGTTTTCGAAGTACAACAGAACGCGTCTGGATGTCTCTTTCAACAGATAGTGTCAGAGAAAAGCGCATGAGAAGGATGTAAATGGAACTCGGTAATGTCGGCTTTTAAGTGAAGATCCTATCCGAATTGGAAGAAGCCTTCACCCCGTATCAATTGGCATATATATGAATATGAATGATCAGTTGTGAAATATATGTCGATATAAACACGTGGACAGATTTTTGGCTAGACGGAGGATTGCCGTCAAGAGGTCAAATTTATTGTTCTTTGAAACCGCTTCCATTCGATTCAGCATCCAAAAGTAGGTATATCATTTTCAAGCTAGGCTCAAGAACCTCTTGGATGTTGAGAAACTGTGATTTTCCCGAAAGTCCCTGCCGCTTTTCGCAAAACCACCCATTTTTCAGTGTTTCACATATAGTTCCGCGCATTTTTGTGCAGATTCCTTGAACAATATCTCATTCGACAGAGCGCAAAAACTGAATGAAATGAAATATCGTTCATAATTTTGAAGTTAACAACTGGTGCTGAAATATTTTACAATTTGAAGTTTTTGAAATTTTAAAAACCTAGTTTTTTCGATTAAATCGAAATTTAAATACACGTCATAGCCTCAGAATCAAATCAAAGTAAGCACATTTTATAGCCCTCGTAATTCACTGGAAGAATGCACTGGACGAAAGCGGCTTTTCAAAAAATATGCATATATTGCAATTTAGTCTCTTTATAAGGTGCAGCTAATGTAAAATTCGAAAAAGCGAGTTTTACGAAAATTTGGGTTTTCAGGCTGTTTTCACCTATTACAAAATTCACTATTCACTCAATAAGCATCAGAACGGGTTCAAGACTTCAGGATATGGTCGATTTTCTCCGCTGAATGTGATTATAATATTGAAAAAATCGAAAAAGCATATTTGCGTTAATGGGCTTTCTAGAAAACCTTTTGGAAAACCTTAGGGCTTTTAAATTTTCTTTTAAGATCTCCTATAAATAGGATATAGAATAGCTTAAATACTTTATATCCTGAAGTCTTGAACCCGTTCTGATGCTTATTGAGTGAATAGTGAATTTTGTAATAGGTGAAAACAGCCTGAAAACCCAAATTTTCGTAAAACTCGCTTTTCGGTAGACTTTTTGAACTTTTTCTAAAAACAAATATTGCCA